ATCTCAATTCAATGCTTTACTTGGAAGGTAGGAAAAATGTTATATTTCTATTTCATTTTACAATTAAGGAATATTACTTCAACTACTTATTAATAAATATAATTGTTCAAAGTCTTTAATAAAAAGTGTCATATTTTTATTTCGTTTTGTAATTAAAAAGTGTTATCTCAACTGCTTTGTTAATGAATATAGTTGATAATCATTTTAGATACTATTTTATTTTTTTGTTTTTCATATTGAAATTTTGTCATGATAAATTCATCTTTACAAAAATTGAATATTAAATGACAATGAAAAAAATGAACAAAAAATGAAGAATATGATGACAAATTGACCGGTGAAAGTCATTATTCCTTTTTTTTTATCCAATTTGTTTGTTTTGAAGTAATTTAAATAATATTTTGAAAGACTAAAATTATTAATTTTGACTTTATTAAATTTAAATAATAATTAAAAGAAAATTTAATTTAATAAAAAAATCAAATTTAAATACATAATATTTTAAAATATCTAAACAATATATTTAAAAATATATGTATTTAAAATTTAATTTTTTAATTCAATCCAAATAATGTATTTTAATTACACTCATCAAATCTAAATTTAAGTTTTCAACCACCACCTCATAGAATTTGAGCTGCGAACTTGGAAGCCGCAGATCTTCCAGGTACTGAATGCAGCAACAATTCTAGAAGGATTCCAGGGTTATGTCTGAGGCAATTTTGTACAAAGAAGGAATTTGGTTATCTCTTGGTGTGAGAATATTGTTGGAGTTCTATTATTTGTACCAAATGATTTGAGGAGATGAAGGCCATGCCTTAAGGGACAGACTTTTTTCTGCTGCAAAAGTACACAGCTTGAAATCCGGAAGGAAAACTGGAAATGGGAAGGATAAATCTTTTTTTTTTAACAATGAAACTTTAAAAACAGTAAAAGATAACTCTTTTTTATTTATTAATTCACGGTATTAGTAAGTTATGTGACTTCAATTTTGAATTTTTTATTTTTGGTGAAGAGAAATTACTATTGAGTAAGTTAGATAGTTGACAATGATAAATCTTTAAGTTAAGTTGTGCTAAATTAATAAATTTTGGATGAGCAAGAAATGCAAAACAATAGCCATTATAGATTAGAACTTTAAAAAAGGATACTGAACTGCTAAAGAATTGTCATAATTGGTTTAAATAGCCTCATAGCATATTTGGCTTAAAAAAAATGAAAATAATTTTATTTAAATTAATTAAAATAATTCATTAAACTAACAAAATAATTTGATTAATTATAATAATTTTCTTATTATATAGGGTCAATGTGAGGCAGTCATTTCTTGTGGACACAAAATTTTAAAGACAATAATTTAGATAATTTTATCCATTACATAATCCCATCCTAACTACTAGTTCTAATTTTTCATTCTAAAATAGGAGTAATTGCTAAATAAAAAATTTAGTGGTAATTTTTTTTTTATCAAAAATAAAAGATTTTAAATTTTAATAACATACATACAAGTAAAATAAGTGATTTATTAATTTAAAAAATAAGAAATGGTTGATTCTAATTGTGTAACCTACCATTAAAAAAAATAGTAGTAATCTAAAGAATTAACAAAAATATACCATGGCCAAAAAAAATGAACGCAAACCAAAATATATGCTTTAGAAAAAAAAAAAAAAAGGGAGAACACCATAAATCGTCGAACTCTGGTAACTAGTCGTCCCCTCTCCATCTCTCTGTTTCCTTGATTCTCCATGGCCGCGCTTTCAGCACCTCACCGGGCACAAGAGCTCCGATCTGGAGGTAAAATGTTGCGGCCCAGGAGGACTACGCTCACCGCCAGCACACCCTATGACCGACCAAGTTTACTCAAATGACGTCTGGCTACTTCACCCGGATGTGAACGGTGTTCATATTTTTTATCAAAGAAAAATGGAGAGAATCGGTAGGAAGAAGATGAAGAGCAGAACACATAAAATGGAGAGAAGTATATGACTTCAACACAATATTTCTCATTCCTTTTACTTCTCCTACTTCTATTTATAGGAGAATACAAACTCAATTTAAAATTCAAAAATCGAATAACTATTTTACATTAAAAAACAACAATAAAATACATTTGAAATTTGAAATATGTAACAGCCATTTCTGTCACATTGCTGCGTCCTTTGGCAGCTCTGCAGCATGCTTGGTCCCTTGGCAGCTCTGTAGCCTTTCATTTCAGATGCATTTGCATTTCATTTGCGTTTCATCTGCTGTTCATTTCAGCTTCCTTTCATCAACATTCTGCAGCTTAGCTTGCTGCCCTTTGCTGCTACCGTGCTGTTGGTGCAGCTCTCTTTTTTTCTTTTTCATTTTGCTGCAACTTGTGCAGCTCTCCCTTCTTTTCATTTGCTGCCATTTTATTGCAGCTTTGACACCACAACTCCAACAAACGGCACCATAGCCATTGGTAAGTTCTTACTCTCTATTAAGACAGTTTGACTGAAAACTATCCTTCCAAACTGATAATAATGTCATTACTTGTGTTAATTGTTGGCAGCGGTAGTTT